AAGGCACCTGAAAAATTTTACCTCTGCTTTGACAGAAGGTGTATCAAAATCAGGTTCTCCAGCTGCTAACATGATAACAGGTACACCAGCTTTTAAAAGAGCAGTCGCCTGGTCAAGTATAGCCAATGTTTTACAAGGCTTCACAGCATCCACCCTTGGACTGAGAGTGAGGTCAACATCCATTTGTCCTGGACCGCCTTATGCTTGCACCGCTGCAGTTATTCTAGGCAACTGTTTTTTCTTAGTATTACCTACAGATCTGGCAAGTGACAAGGATCATCAGCAGTGAAACATAACAACCCCTGACTAAAATAAGGCGAGACGAAAGTTTTCGAGAGTCAGTACACTGCTTAAACAGCAATAGAGAACCTCCATCATGGACAAACCGCAACAAAATGCATAACATACATTATCACATCAACAACAATTGAATGCTGGTCATGCAACTTTTGTTTGAACAAACAGCATAAATGACAAACTGCTCTTTCTTTTCCTACAAATTCCCTATTCCCTGTTCTTCCCTCTTTCACTAGTAGGATCACAGTGATCAACCCAACGCCATGGATAAGCAATAACTCACATGATATCACCAATTTCCATCTCCTCCCGGCCACGACTTAACCGCCATCGCATCCGATATCTAGCAAACTAATATGGGAATGAACTGACACATCTGCCACTGCAACTTCAAAATACAAAAGCCACATCAGGACATCGATTCCCACTAAAAAATTTTCAACTTTTGAAGCAGTCAACGCATTCCCATTCTCACAGAAAGAGATCCAGCACTATCCAAATCACACAACACGAACGTCAAACCAACTTCGAGACAGAACAGAAGCCGGGTGGGTTTCCTCGCAAACCCAGAAACGGAACTTGAAATTTCCCAGCGAAAACTACAAGCAAAAGAATGAACTTTACGCACCTGAGGGGAGAAACTGGGAGGGAAGGAAACAGACTTGGGAGGCACTGCTCGAACTCTGAGTGTGACAAAATCCTCGCTGCTTCGGATGAGAGTGAGACGGTGAAAAGCAAGCGTCATGGAGCACCAGCACTGTTGGCAAAGCAATGCCAAGTCACCCTCCTGGGAAGCCAGAGCTAGCTTCTGATTCTCACCGTTAGAAAGTCCATAAAATTCACGAGGCAAAGAGAATATCTTGTAATTGAAGTAATAATTCGGGATAACCATTCTGTTCCGGAACGAGTTCCTGAAACATAAATAGAAAATCTATTTCTGATTTCAGGATGAGTTTCTGAGAAAAGAAACCCGTTTGATAACGACAAAAAATTTCTATTTCTGGAGCAGAAATCCGTTTGATAACAGCACAAAATTTCTATTTCCTGAAACAAAAACCTGCTTGATAAACAACACAAAATTCTATTCCCATGAACAAAAATCCATTTTTTTAGAAATGGAATAAAAATAATTAGAAAATCCAAAAAATTCCTAAAAATCTCAAAAAAATTCAAAAAATCCAAAAAAAATTGAAAAATTCTAGAAAAATTCATCACAATTTCCAAAAAATAAAAAAATTCAGATTTCGGGAAAATAGGAAATTTGTTGAATTTCTTCAAAAAAAATCAAAACTTCATAGAATGGCTTAAAATACCTGTGGCCACCCACTTTTAGTGAAATTTAAATTTTTTTAGGTGCCCAAAAAAAATCAAAAAATCAAAAATTTCAAAACTTCACAGAATAGTTTAGAATACATGTGATCACCCACTTTGAGTGAAATTTAAAATTTTTTAAGGTACCCAAAAATTTCAAAACTTCACAGAATAGCTTAGAATACCTGTAGCCACCCACTTTGAGTGAAATTTTAATTTTTTGAGGTGAAAAAAAAGCAAAAAATCAAAAATTTCAAAAATTCACAGAATGACTTAGAATATCTGTGGCCACCCACTTTGAGTGAAATTTAAATTTTTTTAGGTGCCGAAAAAAAAATAAAAAAAAAAATTTTAAAACTTCACAGAATGACTTAGAATGCCTCTAGCCACCCACTTTGAGTGAAATTTAATTTTTTTTAGGTGCCCAAATGGTATTTTTGATTTTTTTTGATTTTTTAATTTTTTTTCGGCACCTAAAGAAAATTAAATTTCACTCAAAGTGGATGGCCACATGTATTCTAAGCCATTCTGTGAAGTTTTGAAATTTTTGATTTTTTGCTTTTTTTTCTTTTTTTCGGCACCTAAAAAAAATAAAATTTCATTCAAAGTTGGTGGTCACAGGTATTCTAAGCCATTCTGTGAAGTTTTGAAATTTTTGCTTTTTTGCTTATTTTTATTTTTTTTCGGCACCTAAAAAAAATTAAATTTCGATCAAAGTGGGTGACCACGGGTATTCTAAGCAATTCTGTGAAGTTTTGAAGTTTTTTCTTTTTTTATTTTTTCGGCACCTAAAAAAAATTAAATTTCGCTCAAAGTGGATGGCCACAGGTATTTTAAGCAATTTTGTGAAGTTTTAAAATTTTTGATTTTTTGTTTTTTATTTTATTTTTTTAGGCACTTAAAAAAAATAAAATTTCTCTCAAAGTGGGTGGCCACAAGTATTTTAAGCCATTCTGTGAAGTTTTGAAATTTTTGTTTTTTTGCTTATTTTTATTTTTTTTGGCATCTAAAAAAAATTAAATTTCGCTCAAGTGGGTGGTCACGGGTATTCTAAGCCATTCTGTGAAGTTTTGAAGTTTTTTATTTTTTTATTTTTTTCGGCACCTAAAAAAATTTAAATTTCGCTCAAAGTGGATGGCCACAGGTATTCTAAGCCATTCTGTAAAGTTTTGAAATTTTTTATTTTTTGCTTTTTTTAATTTTTTTCGGCACCTAAAAAAAAATTAAATTTCGTTCAAATTAGGTGGCCACGGGTATTCTAAGACATTCTATGAAGTTTTTAAATATTAGATTTTTTGATTATTTTTTTTTTTGGCATCTAAAAAAAAATTAAATTTCGCTCAAAGTGGGTGGCCATAGGTATTCTAAGCCATTTTGTGAAATTTTGAAATTTTTGATTTTTTTTATTTTTTTCGGCACCTAAAAAAATTTAAATTTCGCTCAAAATGGGTAGCCACAGATTCTAAACCATTCTGTGAAGTTTTGAAATTTTTTATTTTTTGCTTTTTTTCCCACCTCAAAGATCGTGACTTCCAGATGAACATGTGTTTTGAAGAAAGAGTTCTCTCAGAAATGATTCTCATTTTTGGTCTAGAAATAGAAAACCTACTTTTTTTTGTTCTGATTTCTGGTTCAAAATCGGTTCTGGAACAAAAAGTTGTTCCAGAAATAGAAAAATGAAATTACGTTACCAAACGGGTTTCTGGTCCAAATCTATTTCTGGGAACAGAAAACCAGTTCTGGACAGAACCAGAATGGTTATCCAGAATGGTTATCATGCGCTACCTAAGAATCATCACAATGAAATGTGCTAATCACTGCTTCGGCCCCTAGCGGTTGGTCGAGTCCCAAGTTCGATTCCCCGTCTTTTGGGATATCTTGATTACTTTGCGTAGGACGGGTTTGAATTTAGATATATCGCCGGTCTTGGACTCCAATGGCAACCGGGTGTTGCCATATGTTGGATTTGTATTACTGTCATTTATAGGCCCAATTCCCTAAAAAACCGCAAACTTTAGCCTTTGTCCCAATTATATCCCAAACTTTTTTTTGTCTCATAAAAACCCCAAACTTTTACTTTTGTCCCAAATCTACCAAGTTAACTTTTCGTCCAATTTTTTAATTTTATTTTTTATTTTTTCGAAATTTTTTATTTTTTCTTTTCTTTTCTTTTTCCTTTCCTTTTCTTTTTTTCTTTTTGTTTCACCTTCTGGCCGGTCGCCGGTCCGGCGACCGGCCAGAGGGCCGCGAGGCTCGGCCCCGCCGGCGTTGGGCGAGGCCGACCTCGCCAATAGCCGGCGGGCCGAGCCTCGCCGTGGCGGCGAGGCTCGGCCCCGCCGGTCGGGCGAGGCTCGGCATCGCCCAAGCAAGCGGCGAGGCTCGGCTCGCCCGGCAACGGTGAGGTCGAGCCTCGCCGGCGGCGGCGTGGCCGAGTTCTCACCCAGATCGGCGAGGCTCGGCCCGCCGCACCGGCGAGGTCGGCCGAGGCCGAATCTCGCCGTTGCTAGGCGAGGCCGACCTCGCCAGATCTGGTGAGAACTCGGCCACGCCGCCATTGCGAGGCTCGGCCTCGCCGGCGTTGGCCGAGGCCGACCTCCCCAATAGCCGGCAGGGCCAAGCCTCGCCAGCGGCCGGCGGGGCCGAGCCTCGCCGGCCCCCTCCTCTGGCCGGTCGCCGGACCGGCCAGAAGGTGAAACAAAAAAAGAAAGAAAAGGAAAGGAAAAAGAAAAGAAAAGAAAATAAAAAAAAAATCGAAAAAATAAAAAATAATATTAAAAAATTGGACGAAAAGTTAACTGGGTAGATTTGGGACAAAAGTAAAAATTTGGGGTTTTTTATGAGACAAAAAAAAATTTGGGATATAATTGGGACAAAGGTTAAAGTTGGGAGTTTTTTAGGGAATTGGGCCGTCATTTATATGATTTGAATATATTTCTTTTTAGTCTCGCATAAATTATGAAACAAAAAGAGACCTCAAAATTTTTTTGTTAGAAATCAAACTAAGATAGAAGCTCCATTTATTTCACAAAAAATGAAAATTTTGGATAATATTTTCTTAAAAATCTTCACTTGTATTGCTTGAAATAATTAATTAAAAAAATATTTTTAGTGTCGACAATAATTTATATTGAAGAAATTTTGTGTACAATAAAAAAAATGTCATATATTTATTTTTTTTTAGTAATATAAACGATCATTTTTAAGAAAATATTTTTCAAATTATTCATTTTTCACAAAGCAAACGGATTGAAAAGTCACTTTGCCTGTGATAATGGTATAGATAGATAAAAAGGCTAGGATTGGACACGAGGCATGACACTGTTTTCTTCTTTCTTTTTTCGGATTTTGCATTGAAAAATCCATATTTGTAAGTATCAACAGGTAAATAAAACTTCAACAGTAAAATGTCACACTTATGAATGATAAATTGGAAATAACAATGTACATTGACATTTTCTTTTGGAATGAAATGCGATTATACGCACATCTTAAATCTGCATCTAATCATTCCTCTTATCGTCACTAATTATGATTAAGAAAACAAGGGAGACTGACAACGATTAAATCACGACAACGGAGTCTATTTGATCGAATGATCATGACAGGAATACAACAGCGGCAGCTAATTCGGGTAAGGTGTCCCGAATGCTGCGGCAACTCTGTGATCATCAAACCGGGACAGCGGGTCTCAGCGCGACAAGTGCTTCCTTAATCCTGGCGAAAGCCTCTTGTAGAGTCGCAAGGGAAGCGGCATAAGAGATGCGGGTGCAAGTGTCATCCCCAAATGCACCCCCCGGGACCAACGCAACCTATACAAAATAGCGTTGGGAAAATTTCCCGAAAGTTAATCAGAAGCGGCACCCGGATGTTACATCTTCTCAGCATTTCAGATGTATACATTTTGGATAGGAATTCGGTACAAACACATCTGCAAGAGTTTTTCTTCTTTTTTTTTCGGAAACTAGAGGAAGATAAACAAGCACTTGAATGATGCATACCTTGGCCCGGTCAAGAAGGTATCGGCAAAGTGACTCCGAGCTGTCGATTTCTCCGAAGCCTTCAATTTTAGCTCCATAGTAACAGCTGAAGTCGATGAAAAGATAGAAGGCTCCCTGCATATAAAAGCAAGTGGGATATCAGATTGCAATGAAAAGTGATGAGAAACAGCAAAACAGAGAAGGCCAGATGAAGACCGAAAAAGAATGATTAGTTTGTATGCCGGGTCACTCTCTGATTTAGTACCTGAGGTTCTGAAATCTTCACACCCTCCAGTTCCCCAAAGTTTTTAACCAAGAAATCTCGCCGTTCCCTAAAAGCTTTTACCATAGTCGCGACAGTTTCGCCTCCAGCATATCCCATTGACAAAGCGGCAAGTCCGGCCTTTTGAGATATGCTACTGGCACCTGAAGTGAACTGCAAGAATGCAAAACATATTCAGCCATCCGCCCTATGCTGATAGTGTCAGACACAAACCTCGGGGAACTGAATCAGAAAACAATCACTTCAAAAGGTTGTGTTACACAAATTGGCCACCACCTTAACAACTTGCTTCATCCAATGTTTAAGTCTACTTCAACTTACTGGGTGTAAGAAACCAATGGTCTCTCTCTGTGATATAAAGTTCTTCATTGACACAAAATTTCCTCTCTACCAAGTTTAATTCTAATCAACTCCTAGGCAACCTCCCTTGACAGCTTCATCATTTGCAGTGTTCTTTCTATGAAAAATTAGATTTTTGATACTGCACTATACCTGGCTCTGAATCTTTGCACAAGCTGAAATGAAGTGTTTCGGACCAGCGATATAACCAAGCCTCCAGCCAGTCATTGCGAAGGCCTATAGATGTTCCAACATTTTAAAATTAGATACTTTATAAGGGCATGCAGTAGAATATATTCTAGTATAGAAGCAAAAACTAGATGAAAAATAAAAGTTATTATGAGATTGAAATTTAGAAGGCGAATAGTTCTCGAGAAGGAAAGGCTTCCAATTACCTTAGAAAACCCGTTCACGGTGAATGTCCTCTCCCACATTCCTGGCAAAGATGCAAAACTTGTATGCGTAGCTGGGGCATACATAATGTGTTCATATATTTCATCGGACAGTACCTGAAAAGTTTGCATGAAACTTTTCCATAATCTGTCAACTCAATCGAACAAAAGTAAGGAGCAGGAAGGAAATCTTAGTCTGCTTCTAATACCAGAAGCCTGGGATGCTTTGCGACGATCTTAGCGATCTCTTCAAGCAATTTTTTGGGGTACACGGACCCTGTTGGATTTGACGGAGAACAAAGAATGAGAAGCCTGGATTTCTCAGTAAGCGAGTCTTCAAGAAGCTTAGGGTCCATCAAGAAATCGTCAGAGATACTTGTTGGAACAATAACAGGTGTGGCATCAGCAAGCCTTGCTATTTCAGGGTAACTCACCCAAAAGGGAGCTGGAATTATAACCTGGGACAAGAATTCTAATACATAAATACACAAGGGAAAAACACAAAACCATAATTAGAAGAACAGCACTAAACGTTCCTCCAAGAAACATTATGCAGGGAAATTTTATGCAAGTTGAAAGTACGGGTGACTTAAATTAAGGAAAAGAAAAATAGCGACCCAAAGATGAAACAAATGGCTAGAATGATCAACATCATTTAAGGGGCGAGACTAATGAAACCAATACATTGGCCAAGACAAGAGCGATGGGAACTTCATAAGGGAAACTTATTGTGGCAAGACTAAAAGTGACAGGCAAAATTTGAAAGCAAAAAGCTGAGCGTTGCAGAAGGATTAGTGTAACAGAATGCATGTACATTGGATCAGAATTGAATGACTAGCTGCCTAGACTGGATGATTGAAAAGAACGATTTTGAAGCCTGAGTGATACAAGATATGTATCTGTAAGATGGCTACATCTAGATTGGGGAAATTCTCTTGCTCTAACTTCATTAGAGAAATTAATAAGATTGATCCTTTCATATTCACCGTATTCAACTTTTCAACTTCAGGGTTTACACACCTTTGTCTTGTAATTAGCATATACCCGTTGCTAATATCCCTTTTCATTACCTTTTATTGCAATTTCAAAATGAAACTACATATGAATTCATCACTTGCTGCACCACAGCAAACAAGACTATGCCTAGGCCACAATTTAACATTCTTTTGGTTTATATTAATAAATAAATACCCAACAGTATGTCAGACTTTTCATAGAACTGCAAAGATGTTGGAAGTAAAGTAGGCCAAATCACTTGCCAAAAGCATGCAGTAGTCTTCCATGCCCGGCCATTCATGACATACTCCATTATAGGTCGATCAAATTAAGTGTCTACAACAGGATGAACAGGTGACGGGAGCAAGACTTAAGACAAAGAAATTATAATTCTGATAAAAAGGGTGTGGAATTATTTCTTCAGCCAGATTCATAACAAACTACCGAGACTATATGGCCAAGATGTCATCACTCATCAACTTCACAGATGCAAAGTTATGTCACCTATCAGAAGACATTGCATCAAACAAGAAGTGGCTTAAAGCTGCTTTCAACTGCTAATTTACTCTAAAAGTTCAAATATTATCATAGATTCCAACAATAGGCAAAATTGCCTCACTCCAGCATTAATGACTTGTGGAATTGGAATTAAAACAAGGAAATAACTGAATATGTATCAAAATCAAAAAAATTTCAAACAAGAAGTGGCTTAAAGCTGCTTTCAACTGCTAATTTACTCCAAAAGTTCAAATGTTATCATAGATTCCAACAATAGGCAAAATTGCCTCGCTCCAGCATTAATGACTTGTGCAATTGGAATTAAAACAAGGAAATAACTGAACATGTATCAAAATCAAAAAAATTTCAAACAAGAAGTGGCTTAAAGCTGCTTTCAACTGCTAATTTACTCCAAAAGTTCAAATGTTATCATAGATTCCAACAATAGGCAAAATTGCTTCACTCCACCATTGATGACTTATGGAATTGGAATTACAAAAAGGAAATAACTTAACATGTATCATAACCAAAAAAATGTCACAAGCATGATATCCTTAAGCAATGGGCAGACCTCATCTCCTGGAGAACAAACAGCCAGAACTGCCTGATGAATGCTCTGTTTGGCACCATTACTAACAACAATCTGATCTGGCGTGTATGAGATCCCATTCTCCTCTAAAAACAGATATAGCAAGCATGAATAAGCAAAGCAATAACTGGTAATTTTCATAACTAAATGTCCTGCACAGGACTTAAATGTCAATATATTGATCAGTCCTTTTAGATGGTAACGGAGTGAGTAACAGAGAGAAAAACCTTTTAGCTTGTGACAGATTGCTGTGCGGAGTTCCAATGTGCCTGTATTTGGTGTATATCTTGTATAACCTTCCCGAATAGCATTAATTCCAGCCTGCGGAACAGAAGTGAAAGAAGCTAATAATAATTCATTTGATGGTATAGATCAGATAGTTAAGGGACCTGAAAAATTTTACCTCAGCTATGACAGAAGGTGTATCAAAATCAGGTTCTCCAGCTGCTAATGCGATAACAGGTACACCAGCTCTTAAAAGAGCAGTCGCCTGGTCAGTTATAGCAACCGTTTTCGAAGGCTTCACAGAATTCACCCTTGGACTCAGAGTGGGGTCAACGTCCATTTGTCCTGGACCAGCTTGTGCTTTCACCACTGCGGTTATTCTGGGCAACTGTAATTCCTTACTATTATCTACAGATCTGGCAAGTAACAAGGATCGTCAGCAGTGAAATCCAACAACCCAGGACTAAACTACAGCTAGACGAAGGTTTTCAATAGTCAATGCACTGCTTAAATAGCAATAATAGAGAACCTTCGTCTTGTGCAAACCGCGACAAAATGCATATCATACATTATCATGTTGACACCAGTCAAGTGCTGGTCATACAACTTTTGGTTAAACAAACATTATAGATTATCATCTGCTCTTTCTTTTCTTACAAATTCCCTTTTCATCTGGTCATGGTGATCAACCATGAATAAGCGATAACTAACATGATATCACCAATTTCCATCTCCCCCACCACGATTTAATTGTCATTGCGGCCAATACCTGGCAAAACTAATATGCGAATGACTTAAACTCATCCGCCACTGCAATTTGAAAATTCAAAGCCACATCTGGACATCTCTGCTGGGCACTATGCAATACAATTCCCATTAAAAAAAAATTGAATTTTTTAAGCAATCAACGCATTCTCATATTCCCAGGAGGAGATCCAGAACCAACCCACAATCACACAACACAAGCTGATTGCGTTTCCACACAAACCCAGAATCAAAACTCGAATTCCCAGCAAAAACAACAACAAAGGAACGAGCTTGACGTACCTGAGAGAGAAACCGGAAGGGAAGGAAACAAGCTTGGAGGCGCCGCCCCAACTCGAATGGCTAAACCCAAGACGTTGCTGCTTGGGATGAGCGCGAAACTGTGAACAGCCAATGCCAGAGGGAGCACCAGCACTAGCAGCCATGGGAGGAGGTTGGTGGTGGGTTCAGCTCGAGCTCGCTAGTGCAGTTGGTGGGTTCGTCAGCAAATGGGAAGGCAAAGCGCCACCCTTTATTGCCTTCGCCCATAAAGAATATGCAGGAGGGGGGTTGGTGGGAAAGTTGAGGCAGAAGGGGTTTGTTGAGAAGCACTCTTCAAAACTCCAAAGTCCTTTTGTCTTTTTTCCTTTTTTTTCTGGGACAGTCTTCCAAATCGTCTTGAACACTTCCCTTCCGGTGGTCGACGACTACGTTGACCGTGCAGATGAGATCGGCTCGTGGATCCTGTCCTTGGGAATCTACGGTTCGGATTGGAGGAGATGTGCATCTCGGCCGCCACGTCATCATCCGGGCCAATGAGAACCTAATGCATGGCTAGGGATGAGCATGATCCGAATGGGCGTTTCCCACCATAGAATCGAGAGCCACCCACTAAGGACCGGTTCTAAAAAATTGAAACCGAGAACTGCCCGTTAGTTCCATGGATCTACCCGAAAATCGAACCGCCGGTCTGGTCCGATTCCTGAGTGGGTCCATGGAACTGGTCCCGCTAGCTAAGGACGGAGACGGAAAGACGAAAACGGAGGCTAAGCTAGAGAGACGGAGACGGTAAAATGAGCATCGACCGAGAAGAGTGTGAGAGTGAGAGTAAGCGTGAGACGAAAGCAAAATATGGTGTTTCTCGGCTCAATATGAGGCTGTGAGCGTCAAGCGAGTTATGTTTAGTTTAGGGATTTAAGATTTTTTTTTAAAAAAATTAATTTAAATAAGTATATTATATTTATTATTATATTACCGGTCCGGTCCAGGTGGGCAGTTCCACACCTAAAGCCGGGAACCGAATCGGTACCCAGCAGTTTCCAAAAATTGGAACTGAGAATCAGATCGGCTCCCTTAGGAACTACCAGTTCCAATCTGGTTTTAGGCGATCTGAGGGGTTCTCGATTTTTTTGCACACCCCTATGCACGATTGGCATTAGATCTGGTAAGACTCCTTTGAGACCTGCATGATCTAAGGGTTCATTCGTATTCAATGGTGCTTGCGGGATGTGCTTGGGAAGGATATTCCGCGTGTCAATGACCCACGCAATCTAACAAGTCTATTCCATTGCCCGCGTTGTATAGATACTAATAGGAGTGTGCAAAAAAATCAGACATGAACCGGTCCGGTTCCCAGTTTCAATTTTTGGGAATCAGTGGGTACTGGTCTGGTTCCCGGTTCTAGGTGTGGAACCGCCAGCCCACCCATCCGGACCGGACCGGTAATATAATAATAAATATAATATATTTATTTAATTTTAATTTTTTAAAAAATAAAAATCCTAAATCCCTAAATTAAACATAACTTGCTCGACGTTCACAGCCTCACATCTTCTTTCGCTTTCGCCTCACGCTCACTCTCACTCTCTCACTCTTCTCGGTCGATGCTCACCTCATCGTCTTCGACTCTCCATCTATGTCTCCGTCTCCGTCTTTGGCTAGTGGGACCAGTTCCGTGGATCCACCAGGGAATCGGACCGGTGCGACGGTCCGGTTCCCGATTCCAATTTTTCGGAACTGGTCCTTAGTTAACGGTTTCCTGTTCTAGGATGGGAATCGTCCACCCGAACTATGCTCACTCCTAGATACCGAGCCAGGTCTAATTTACTTCTGAAAAAACATTCACTTATAACGGGTGTACCTTTCGGCATTTCATTGACATGCGACGTAATTGAGGTAAGACTCCGGGCGAGATGGCCGGGCGTGAGCAGCAAGCTAGAGAATGAGAGTTGATTCGGAGGCCAACCCTTTTTCCGTCGATTTTGGCCAAAAAGGCATTTTAGGAACGGTCTAGATTAACTTTAACTTTCTACTTCTTTTACATCTTGCGGCCGACGCATATTTATCGTTCTTTAAAACCCAAAAACTCTCGATACTTTTTCATAACACTCGAATGTTGACCCGTGAGTTCAAGTATACCATTCCATAATTTTCCGAAACTTCTAGTTAATATTTTGAATTTTACCCGAGAAACACTTTTTTTGGCTTTCCTTTAGTCTATATTTTTCAGAGAGAGAGAGAGATGTGAGAAATGAGAATGCTGTAACCTGACATTGCTGACTGTTCCTGCACGGTAACGACCGGTTCATTAGAGTAGAAGATGATGATGAGTAGGTGAGATTGACCGGTTCGCTTACGTTTTTTAAGTTGGTGACCGAGAGCTGTTGAACTTTAAAATGGGACTTTCTGCTAACAACTGCTTCGCCAGCTTGGGAATTGTCTGAACGCCAGATTCCTGCAGAAGCGTCTCGCATTCAACCGTGACTAATTTAAACTACAGATAGATTTAAAGATCAATTTTTTGTTAGAAAACCCAGGTTTCTAACTTTCCAACCAACCATTTTGACCACATTTTTTCCATACACCAGATTGAATTAGTTCTTCGCTCATTGCTTATGCCACATCAGATTCAATCCGACCTCTGGAACGCATGTCGGGTCATCCAAAACAGATGCATGAGGGACCGCTCTTCTTTTTAAACTCAGACCCGAAAGAACGACCATCGATAAATAAAATCAATGTGGAAGAACATGGTCCAAAGGAAAACTCATCGTCGTTCCTCCATTCAAATGAAATCTTAAAAAAGCCTACGCATAAGGCAGGAGCAATCCTCGTTTGAGCAAGCCCTCTAATGCTACTTTTGCAGTGATATGTCTCCTTGAAATCCTCATAAAATGCCTTCACCGGGAATTTTGCTTGAGTCTAGTTTCAGTCTAGTCGCACATTCATACGGGAAAAAGACATTTTCATGATCATTCATTCGCAAGCTTTACACATTATATGTTGTCATCAACAATCCTCGTTCTGGAAAATATCGAAAAGTTTGTCCACGACAAAAGATAAATGAGCTCAAACAATATCACAGATGCACTTGCTGATCCCATGCCAGTAATATCCAACCAACATGTTCCTCGACTCAGCCTTGGATAATTCCTTGAAACTTCACCATCATCAATATAGACGGTTTACGACGTGGGGAAATCAAACCATTCCCTCAAAGTTGGAGTCAGCATCTGAATGCAGGGAGTTAACTTTCTATTCCAATGCAAGACACCCTTTACTTTTCACCTTTCCACCACGCCTATCCATTCAAAAATCGTCTTTTTAAGTTCTTTCAATAGCCATCGAGTTGCTTTGCTAATCCCAAAAAGATTTTCTTTCTCCTCCTTTCCCTGAAACCAAAATATTGAACATATATGTAACACAGAAGAACAGCAGAAGAATATAGATGAAAAGCCATCAAAGATAGAACAAGAAGCTCGAAACCCTATCAGTTAAGGGATGAAACAACCAAACACCCACGACATTGCATTGGTGCACGTGCATTTGGCAAGTTGCAGAAGCACTTGAAACATAGAAAATTAGTCATTTTAAGTAGCTGCTAGTGGTCACACACCAACTCACTTTTACCAGTCCTTTTTGCAACCTTTAAAGCCAAAATTTAGCCATTCTAGGATGACCATAAAGTTTTTCAAAATTGGGTACCGGAAGAATCAACTTCCACTTTCCCAGAACATGACAAGCAATTGCAGAACAGGTTCTAATAACTGAGTTCGTGAAATAACTCCTGAAGAAAGCCTTAGGACTTGAGAGGATTTAGAAAAATAAATATAACAGCAGGGCATATGAAATGCAGTCTCAGTAGAGGGCAAGGTATGAATTAAGCAGTAGCAAAAACTAAGGAGGGGAAGGACAAAAATGTAAGTCTGACAACGTGCAAGGAGATCTCACTCATAGAATGCAAGCGAGACAAGATTAAAAGGAGAAGTGCATCCCATGTCTTACGCGAACATATCGCAACAGTAGGCTAATAATCAAGCTTGAGAGAAACTTCTGTCAGATGAGACTTCTATTGCTGAATCCACCAAAATGCAAAGCTGTCAAGCACCCAATGTACATTTCGACCAAAAAAAATGCACCCGATGTACATTTCGACCAAAAAAAAATGCACCCGATGTACATAATATGCGTGTAGCCTAGGCAAGGCTGGTTCAGTGGATCAATAGGTATTCAAATAAAGGATTGAGTTAGAAATTAGTGTATCTGACTTCGCATGGCGCTGATAGAGGACGAGACAAGAAAAAACAATAGGTAAAAAAGACTCGCAAGATGCTCTTATAAAAAAATGTTATTTCACGACCCATAACAAGACCACAAACCACACAAAAGGACCTTTTGAGTTTATAGACATCACTTTCTAGGGAATGTATTCACACAGCATAATAGCACAAAACAATCCATGGAAGCGATCCACCACAATTAGTAGGAAAAGAATTTGGCAGTTGTTCTCATCACAAAATTCAAGGCGAAGATAGCCATGGGCTTGCACCTCCAGACAAATAAGGAGAACTTCACAATGTGTCAACATTAGTGTGCTCTAAAGCACCTTCATAATATGAAACAGTGAGACTAGATTGACAATAAATGACTGAACTCTTGTTTTTGTAAAGAGGTTATACTAGTTGTAAACTCGTCAAAATGGTGGGATCATTTCAAAGCAATTGTTCACACTGAAACTCTGAAGCAACAGCTGATGTAGAAAACGGATGTCCAGGGACTGTTCAATTAGCAGCAAAAACTCAGTTCCTCTGACAGAGATACAAAGCTAAGCTAGAGCTAAAGAAATCTGGAGATACATTCAACAATTACCCGGACAAATGCTCACAAATGCAGTTCCAAGAAACTTATAGACAACATTAAAGAGTATAAATTTGGGTCAGCTACACCAGCAACTAGATGCCCTACTCAAAATCTATGGAGTTTGGATTTTCTGTAAAAGCATCACTCCTTTTACCAATCTCTGACCGAGTGAAGGAAAGAATTGAAAGGTTTGCTGTGCAACTAAAAGGACTAAAAGATTACAAGAACAAAAAAAGGGAGAATAATTAAAACAGCCTCTGCAGGCTTCATTTCTTGATTTTCTAACTTAATGCATTGGTAACCAACATGAAGTTTCTCTCGCAAGACAAAGCTGTTCAAGGCTATTGTCATCTATGATTGAAGAATGACAAAAGCCTCTCATTTACCCACTCTACAACTATAACAACAAGAAACCAAGCCTTATCCCACTACGTGGGGTCAGCCATATGAACCCTAACAAACCAAGCCTTATTTCTTGTCCAAGCTCTCCATCACGTAACAGGAATTCACGTGTAGTCTATTATGGTCAAACAAGCTTGTGGAGCCCTATGCATTTATAACCTAGGTCACATAAGGTCACTCTTTTGCCCAGACTTCATAGTAATATCAATATGTAGTCTACAACATTAAGAGTATATGGAGCAACTAATAACTCATTTACCTATTTTATACACCCTGACCAATTCCTTAAGCAATTCAACATTGGGGAGAAGTAAGGGTATGCATCAGTCCAGGTCCAACCCGAGAACCAGACCAGACTAACCAGTTCTTGGTGGTTCCCACAGCAATCAATTCGGTTCCCGGTTCCAAAAATTAGGAACCAATTCCTGGGGAGGAACCATATCGACCAACGGAAATGATCCAAAATATATATAATTTTTTGTATTTTTTTATCGCGGACACCTTAAAAGAAAATTGAAGACAAAGTATTTATAGCAAAAGCCAAAAAAAGAAAAAAAACTGAACCGGACCCTGGTCCAATTCCAAGGTGGATAGGGTCTGTTCCCGTTCCACAAACTAAAAACCGACCCTGTCCAATCCGGTTCCCAATTTCAAGATGGGAACTGACCCACCATGGAACCAATTACCCCTAGGAAGAAGCGCAACATGGAGACATGACAAGGGACCTGATCTATATTTAAGTCAGATTGGACAACATGGAATCATACATAGGGGAGAAGCACAAAACAGAGACACGTGGGACTCCATCTATATTCAAGTCAGCAAGGACATCATGAAATCATATTCTAACCGATGATGTGAGAATGTACTCCAAAACATATCGCAGTTCTACCAAGGGATTAAAGATGTTGAAACAAAACATCCATTCTATTGGTTCCATATATATGGCAATCATATCTACATTATCATTAGCATAGACCCCGTATAGATGATACACTATGGTAATCCAGTCTTTTCTTTTCTCAGGAAAAAAAAGTAAGCATATTCAGATATCATTTACTGAATCGATGACATGAGTAAGCTAAATGTCGTATGACAGTAAAGGAGAAAGTACCATCAAATCCTGGTACACGAAGAATCAAAATCATCCGGAGCCACTCGTGCAATCCAATTACTCAAAGTCTTCTTGATATCCGAATGATTAACATACGCCAACTCGTACATACTACACAGATTCACCACGAGAGACTCATTCAAAGCAACAGTAGGAACCCGTTCAAGAGCATTCTCCAACACCTTGATCGAATCCGATAAGTCCCTCAAATACATTAAACAAAGCGCCTTATTGTTGATTGCCACCACATCCGAATCATCTCTTTCGATACACTCCTCATACTCCCTCACAGCTGACACATAATCCTTCCCCACCAAATACACCAAGGCTTTATTTCTGTTCACAAGATTCTTCAACTCAACCTCACTCAATGACCCACGATCCTTCCCTTCGCTTGCCATCCCCTCGATCTGCTTAAATGAGCTCTTCGCGCCCTCCAAATCCCCGATCTGCATCTGAATATACCCCAACCTCGACACCAGGACCGGGTCCTCCGAATAACCCCTCCTCAACATATCCCTGATCAAATCCAAGCACACACTGAACTCCTTATTACTCAAATGATGACCCACAATGCTATTCATCACCGAAACCTCCCTCCTCCTCCAAGCCCTCACCGACTCGTCCTCCTCGGGCAAACCCTTGATTCTTCTCTCCTCCAATTTCCCCCTAACGAAATCCAGAAGCGCATAGAACCGATCCAAGCCCTCCTGGCGACTGCCCAGCTTGATCGGGATCACGCAGTTCAGCCACCGGAGGCAAAAGGGCACCATCGAGCCAGACCTGCCCGGGTAGACTTCGGGGTAGGACTCGTACCTGTACTCGGGGGACTCGAGATCCTGGAGGGAGTCGAGCTCGGCGGCGGCGTCGGCGAAGCGGCGGAGCTTGGCGAGGGCGAGGGCACTGTAGGAGAGGTAGGCGAGGTGGTCGTGGGGGTGGCGGAGGAGGGAGAGGGACCGGGCGCGGGCGACCCGGTCGAGAACGGACCGCCACGAGCCGCGGCTGGCGAGGTCCTCGAGGGACGAGAGCTCGTAGGCGAGGTCGTCGAGGGACGAGAAGGAGGAGGAGGAGGAGGACGACGGCGGGTTGGTCAGCCGATCGCCGACGGGCGGCGGCGGCGAGCTCGGAGCTTCTCCTTCTTCCATGGCTTCCTTCGGGAGCAGTTCTCGAGTTCTCTCTCTGTGTACTACAACGCGCAGGAGAAGAAAAGGAGGAGGGGAAAACCGGTCGGGTCGGGTATCCGATGGACCGGCTATTTCGAATTCGGCCCGTCTTAATTCGGGTCGGTCGGGTCATCCGGCCTGCAAAACTATAAAACCTCCTCTCTTTCGGCCGCAGTACCTATCTTTCGCTTTTCTCTCGCCGCCGCGCCTCCCCTCCGAGATAGTCCGCCGTCGAACACCGCCGCCGCGCCGCCGGCGAGACCCGCCGCGACGGCGCGACCCACCGTATCTCTCTCTCTCTTCCTCTCTCATGTCTAGTGTGTTACGGGCAAGCACATCTCCACGAGTGTGACGATAGCGAAGCACGACGGTCTCGCTCGTATCTTCTGCTTGTATCGGCCTCCGCGAGCTCCGGCGAGGACTTAGCGCCTCCAGGCCATCCATAAGCTCGGACGCACCGACGCGGCGCCGCCGCCGGACTCACTCTCTCACAGGTTCTAGTTCAGTGAGGGTTTTGCTTCTTTTTAGCCGAAATATCTGTTCTTTATTTAATGAATATGATATCTAACAAATTACTCGTGTTGTTTGTGGATGCTGAACAGATTGAACTGTGGCGAACTTGGACGACAGAAACAACGAGTGAGGAGCCGTGCCGAAGGATTCTTTTGGGTGATTATTCTGGGTATAAATCTTAAACAAGAGTTTGTTTAGTGTATTATAGATGTTGTGAACTGAAGATTGGTGGGTGGATGGGCTGTCAAATTAGTTGGATGAATGGGAATTTCTGACTTTGGTTTGATACTTTGATGTTGATGACTGGTTGTTCATGGGCTGAGCTGAGATATTGTTCTGGCTTTCAATTTCAGTTACTTTAACTTGTCGTTCTTTTTACATTGTTTCTGTTCCTAATTGTTGTGTTAAGATGTCTTCAACCCCTGATTCTCATTCTCGAGCCCCTCAAAACGAGAGCATGCAAACTCCTATGCCAACTTCTGCTGGCGGAGTGTCTCCTCCCCCCTAACCACCTGTTCCTACATCAAAGCCTAGTGGAAGTAAGGCACTTAAGCAGAATCTGTCTGATGTTAGGTTCAATGTGACTGTGGCCCAGCTCATATAGTATGAAGATGTCATATAAACTTAAAATTTACACTATTTTGGAGTTTTAATGTCATATAATGTTCATAATTAATAAATTATGTATGGTTATCGAAGACTTTTGTATTGTTTGTGTAATTTTTAGGATCTTAAAATCCACTATTCGATCCTAAGTTGGATGTTGATCCTAACAACTTTTCTTGTGCCGGTGGAAATTTTTTATAAAGAAGCTGGGAAGGGCTGGAGGATGTTAAGAAGATAAAATTTTGGGCCTTCTCCAAAGTCGAACAGATGAGTCCACAAAGAAAAACAGAGAAAACGTATGATGTGGGAGTGCAGGAATTCACAATGTTCCTACGTTTGAACTTCTTTCCCTTGTTTTAAGGGAAAAAGCCACAAAAAAACCCCAAATTATGTCCACTATGATATGTTTATCCCGAACTTTCTTTTTTTACATCAAAAATCCCAAACCATACCCACAGTGACACATTTACCCTAAACTTTTTCTTGTGACATAAGAAACCCTAAACTTGTACCTATGTGACACATTTACCCTTCGTCAAGGTTCCGGTAGATGATTTTTCAGCCAAAACAACGTCGTTTTTATTTCACTTGAGACATGTGGGTACCATGTCAACTCTGTTTGCTTTCTGGCATCTATGTAAGCAGACTTTTAATGGTTTCCATTGACAAAAACTTGACGGAGGGTAAATGTGTCACACAGATACAAGTTTTGGATTTTTTGTGTCACAGATAAAAGTTTAGGTTAAATAAGTCGTAATGGGCATAGTTTACGGTTTTTGGTGGCTTTTGCTTTTGTTTTAATGTTGATATGTATGTAACTGTGCAAAACTGAATAAAAACTTCACAATTTGGCCTTGGTTTGTTAAATTTATAGAATCTTATGGTCCTCGATCCATAATGTTGTCTCAAAATGCTGCACCTATTGGAATAACTGAGATGAAGTTAACATCAAAGCAATGCTTTAGTAATAGTTATTATCAGGTGTGCATATTGTCTATTTCAAATATATCCCTGCACTTGCATCCAAATTTTAGACACTCATTCCCTCAGACCTCTTGTTCGAGAATTAAAAACTTGGACAAGTCATGATACTATGATAGGTACCCATGTTTGGCACCCGTATCAGAGAAAAATGGTTCTTGCACATGGATGTGTGATTGTATCTTTTCATTTTTGTGCTTGTGCTTTGTAACAAAAATGTAGTGTTTAGTGATTGCTAGTGTGCAATTTGCAAGCGGTCTGGTTTGGAGGGTTAATAATGATAAGATAACTCTTATGGACTGCACACTAAGGTATATTTTGTCGTTAATATTTATTTGTTGTTTTCCCAAACGACAGAATGGATAGAATATGACAATGTACTGCCATATATCTTGCGATGGACGTAATGAGGTAGGGGTATAAGAGATTGCTCAGATTCCTGTCCTATCATAAAAGGTTTGGAAATGCAGCTGACGTGCATAGTCTCTCAATATCCACTGGTCAAGATAGAACGTTCTCTGGCACATAACCTAATTTCCCATTGATCTAATTCTTACTGTCTAAGGATTGTCTCTATGAAATAATCGGAGGATTGCCAATTACATTCTTGACTAGATTTTATTTTCTCTTTAATTTAAATCATCATACATCACATTGTCCATTCTTCTTGCAATCCCATTATTCTTACTATTCCAAATACCATTCTTTTCAGCTCTCTCAAATTTGCTTGAGATGGGAGATCAAGCGGAAGAAAAAGTAGGCACACCACATGCAAAGCAACAAGCTCTACTATGTCAAGAGTGTGAAAAGAGCCCATCAAAATACAAGTGTCCTGCATGTTCATTCCGCTCATGTAGCCTTCCATGCGTAAATGCTCATAAACACCGCACTGGCTGCAGTGGCAAGAGGAATCAGACTCAGTTCGTCCCTCTTTCTCAATTTAATGACAATGTTCTCCTCTCTGGTATACTCTCTCTCTCTCTCCACTGCACATGCATGCACATCAAAATTCTAGCCTTTTTGCTGTCTTGAGTATGATTATTCAGGCATAAATTTCTGTTTGTAATTGCCCTGCTTTATCTGAATGGTGTCTTTTCCTTTGAAAATTGGCTTAAGCCTGAAGCTCACTTCTGTTTTCATGTTTACTTTTTAAGAAATCTTTCATTTATTCTTGAGTTTTATATATTCTTGATTCTTGATGGACATTAGACTATAATTTGCTCGAGGAAGTGAAGAGGGTGACTGAATCTGCTCACAGAACGAGAACTAAATTAAGTGTGCATCCTTATTTTAAGTTGCCGTTTCCCCTCCAAAACCTCCGGCGTGCAGCTGCTAGTAGGAGAACAAAACTCTTGTTCCTTCCAAGTGGACTTGCAAAAAGGGGCAGAAATCAGTCTCGATATGAGCAAAGGTGTGACGTCAGAATCTTGACCTTAGAGTGGACTATATATACTATGCTGTTGATTTTGTAAGATGAGATACTAAGTCCTGCACATTAGGTGTAGATAATTTTTGTGGTAGGCTTTATGCCTCCTCCTCCTGTTTTTAGTTACTTCAATTTTTTGAGTGGGGTCATTCTCTTGGCTGGGGTATACGACATTAGATCAGCTGGGTCTTTCTGAAGGCATTTAATATTTATCTTTAAACTATGATTTTGCTCTAGGGGTTTAGTGATAACACTGTCAGTGTTTACTCTATCTGTGATGATGTGATCTCATTCCCATCTTTTTTCTCCTTAAGTCAATAATCAAGCCATCTGATCATAGAAGAGGTATTCTTGAAGGGTAAGATCAGCCCTTCTATCTCTATAATGTCTCTGAATCTTCGTTATATTAGTTTATATCTGGATCACAGTTGCAGTTCCTAAGAATATTTGGAATAGATCATTTATTGAGAAAATGCTATCAGGAAGTGATTCCTTCTTGGCTTTTACATTCATTAATGAGGAACATTTTTCTTAAACAAGCTTGGTTGAACTTTTCTAGCCTGCTAATTTAGGTTTTAATCTCCTTTGCGAGTTATTTTCTTGCTGTGAGATTAGGAAGTGCAGGACTTGTCAGGTGTTGACTTTTTGGTCACGCTTTGGATATACAGATTTAAGGTGTACTTAAATGTCAGCTTTTTTCTAGAAATGATTTTCATTGAATTTTGTAAGCAGTTTTTTCGTCTTCTTGACCTTGGCATTCCCATGCTTTCGGTTAACGCTTTCCTCCTTTGTCAGCCCTCCTTTTTTTAGATGTTTTTTCATTTGAAGATTTCTAGTAGGAATGTGATTTTGGAATTATTTTTGAGTTTCTCATCTGTGAACTATGCTCTTCTAATTGTTTCAGGAAGAAATTTATTTCGTGGACAATTGAATGGCGCTTTCACTCGACAGATGTGGTTCTTTGTGACCATGGGTAAGTCATGTGTAGTTTAATCTTGATGAAAGCTGATATGCAGTACCTATGTTCACCTTTAATGATGAGAATTAATTTGTGCTACTGTCCATTCCAAAAAGCAATGATATCATGTTCAGTGGTTGAAGATGGTTTTTGTTGCAGAATGCACGAGGACATGACCCTTTGTACCGTCATTGAGAAACATCTGAAACCCGGTCCATGGAACCATCAGCTAAAGCAATTTTGTGATGAACAGCTGGACAATCTCAGATTTTTTATTCGTAAATATCCAAAGGTAATCTTCCCTTCTTCAAGCGTGCTCATGAAGTTTAGTCTTTCCTTTTGCTTGTTCATGCTATGAATCTTTCTCTTTAATGGAGGGGGTGCGTGAGATTAATTTTGGATGTCAATCTTTGGAGTTGACCATCTATCTTTACATGCTTCATATCAGACTACTCAGGAGTTAAATATTCAGCCTAATGAGTTCATTTCTACATTTTGCCGATCCAGGGTCCCAAATCACCTTTCAAGGAGTTGGACATAAGGACGCCTCTTAGGCAACTATTGGCAAATGTTGTCATCTTAGAATATCCTGTAATACACATCTTCCTTCCATCACACAGTTGTGATTTTGAAGTTGTTAAAGACGGGAGAGCCATCACTCCCAAATCTGATTTGCAGTGCTCTGTCGGAAGTGATAACTCGAATGTGGATGGTGTCCGCTTCAGGGAGGAGATTATTGAGGATAATGGCTGTTCGGAATCGCGGGTGTGTGACCTAATGCAGCAACGGAACTCAAGTCGAGAATCTCAATTTTCCCATCAAATTACAAAATCATCAAGTTGGCCCTTGGCAGGACATGTATCTGGATTAAGCGAACCACTTCCCTCCAATGTTGGGGATTCAGGGATTATTGAGGACATGGAAATTGACTTCGATCAGGGACTTCTGGATGCCTATTCAAATCTCATTGCACAAATGAATCCCGATGATTTTCTTGAATTGGATGATGAGTTTGCCAGAAAAGGTCTAGAAGAAAGAACAGGCTTGCCTGGAGGGTGCAACTTAGCATCGGTGGAGGATGAATTAGAGGAAGGCGAGATTTTGGAATGATGAGCCACTCTTACGACTTTTACCGTATGTTATGTTGTATATATTACGGATTTTTGTAATATTATGTGACCTGGAGATGCCTGAGATGGCGAGTTTGAGGAGTCCTTTTGATGCAGATTAATGGTCACTACAGCAAAGTCTCCTGTTTTCTCCTCTTCAGCATATTTTGCAGGAAGATTGAACAAGCTTTAGAAGTTAAGAGGTGCGCGACAACGGAGCGAGGCATTTTGTAGCTGAGTTTTGGGTTTGGTTTGGAATCAGAGTGGGCAACTGGAGTTTGATTTCATATCTAGTTCATATGTGTGCTTGGTTTTTGTAGTTTGAACCCCGATTCTCCTCGATCCTTCGGATCACAGTCTTCATGTTATCTAAACATTACTGTTCTAGAAGCAATGCAAAAATTAATGTCTTCGTTTTCCTTGAGAGACTCTCGTGAAATGCAAATTCGTGAAATGCATAATCAATGCCTGAACTGTATTTTTTTCCTTTTGGATCCTAGACATACCTTGTGTAAGTCTTTATTTTCACCTGTATAAATGACATGGATACATTTGAACTTGAGGTTCTTGTATGTTACCCTCTATAACAAACTTAATTGCTGATGTAGACACTTGCCAGTTGTCTTACGTGGTACTGTCAGTGTTAACGTAGACAGCTAGCATTAACGTAAAAAGTTTTTTAATATTTTTTTGAATTTTTATTTTTTTTCTTTTATTTCATTGTTTTTTTATAACTTTGGGCCGGCAAGGGCCAACAACCCTTGCTTATGCCCTCACTAGCCACGGGCAAAGGCCTCCGCACCCTTGCCCAAATCTAGGTGAGGGTCACGACGCCCTCGCTGGCCACAGGAAAGGGGTCTACAGCCCTTGCTGGACAATAAGCAAGGGTTGCGGCCCTCTCTTGTATCTGGGCGAGGGTCCGTCGGCAACCTTGCTGGCCCACAATTGGGAATGAAAAAAATAAAAGAAAGAAAAAAATAAAAAATTCAGAATTTTAAAAAAATTCTAAGTAATTGGTGAGATTTGAATAAGCGACATTCCATTTATTTACTTATTAAAAGTTTGTCAATTATTCAATACGGACATGACCTAGGTTGTGAAGGAAAAAAAAAAATGAAGTACATGCGGCAACCGTAAAGATGTCGACTAAGGGTGCATTTGGCAACCATTATGTTCCTAGAAATAATTTCTGTTCAGAAATGATTCTATTTGATTATGTGCCCGGGAATAATTTCTAAGCATTTGAAGGTGTTTGATAGCTACCCAAAATTTATATTCTTGGAATAGAAAGAGAACAAAAATGCATTTGGTATATCCACAAAATTTCTTTTTATTAATAATATTTTAATAATATTTTGAATTTTTTAATATTTCATTCTCTTTTTTTTCTTTTATTTTCTTCTTCTTCTCCTTCCTTGGCCATGGCCAGGTCACCGGCGTCGGCGAGGGCCGCCCTCGCCGGTGGCCGGCGGCCGACGATCGACCACAGGCCAAGAAGAAGAAGAAAAAACAAATTCTTTTCAATTTCTGATTCTTGTTTCCATTGCTTCTTATTTCTGTTGCAAAACTGATTCTGGAAATAATTTTTTGCAAATTTGTGCACGAGAACAAAAATTTACCAAACGAATTTCTGTTCCAAAACTGATTCTAGAAATAAAAGAATAGAAATAATTATTATTCGGCCGATTGTCAAACGCGCCCTAAGCCCATTTTCTTGTATTGCAGAAACGAAACATTATGGAAATTTCATAGATGGAAAAATCAATCAACCTAGAGGCACGACAAAATTGACCAACCTAGATCGTCGTGCTTCGTTTCTGCGATACAAGAAAATCGTACGATTTTCAAACGCATGTAAATTGAGGAGAAATGGCATACCCTATATCCGAATAATTTTCGTTCATTGAATGGTCAAACGCCTAGCCCTAGGAAGATTGGAAGTCATCGCGAATCGTATCATGTGTCACCGTCGAGCGTGAACGTGGTTTCTCTTCCTATATTAACCAATCATGACGTTATAGAGCAGCATATATAGTCAAACATGTCATGATCTCTTCGAAATTGGTCATCACCCGAGTCGTATTGACCGTTCGATCTTTCCAAGTAAAACCCGCCTCAATTTCCCTCCATCCATCTTACAAACTTACTCTTTAGGGTAAATTCTATAAAATTCCCCCGAAATGGTAACTTGTGATAAATTTTATCCCAAATTAAATTTCTGACAACCAAAAATCTAAAATTGATACACCTATCATAAATTTACCCTTTATTAGTTTCATTAAATTTTACCGTCAAATTACTAAGTTGAATGACACGTAACAGTTGATAGATGCAACCACCGCCCTCAGCGGCTGCGTTGGCTTCGGGCTCCCCTCCCCCCACGAAGGGTAGGAGTTCGAATCCCAGCCCTGGCGTTAGGGATTCTTAAGCGTGACGTCGTGGTGGTGGGTCCTGCGCTAGCGTCATCCCGGGTTTACCTCCCCGGCTGTCGGCCGTGCGGGGGGTTCCTGAGTTACCAAAAAAAAAAAAAAAACAGTTGATAGATGCACCGGTTTAAGGTTTTATTAGTTAATATTAATCCAATTTCGTGGAAACTAGATGAAGGTAAATTTTTCGCAAGTGTACCAGTTTTGAGTTTTTGGTGGTCAAAAGATTAGTTTTGGGTAAATTTATTATAATTGTACAAGTTTATGGGTTTTTGTGATAGTAACCCCAAACCGGTGAGCCGTGAACCAAACGTTTACCACACCACTACTTGTACCAAATGTTTATCGGTCAGGTGCTCACCCTAACCTTATGAATAGAGTTCTCCGTTAGGGTCTTTTGCTGCTTTATAGGCAATTAGTGTTCAAGATATGTCTCAAATTCGAGTACCTAAATTATTGGAGAAATCTATTCTTAAGGTTAGGGTGGGCACCTTACCGACAAACATTTGGTACACGTGGCAGTTTGGTAAACGTTTGGTTCACAGCTCACCAATTTGGGCTTAATATGACAAAAAATCATAAATCGGTACACTAATGACAAATTTATCTCGAACTAAGTTTTTGACCATCAAAAACTTCAAAATGAAACACCGTGACAAATTTACTATAAACTAATTTTTTAATCACAAAAAACTCTAAACTGGTACACTTATAACAAATTTACCCTTCGTAAAATTGAATTAACACCACGAAATATCACAAATTAATAACTTATTAAAACCTCAAATCGGTACACTCATCAACTATCACGTATTATCAAACTCAGAAATTTGACTTATGGAAACTAACGGAGGGTAAAATTGTCAGAGATGTGCTAATTTAGGGTTTTTTGTGGTAAAAAAATTAGTTTGGTGTAAATTTGTCATAAATGTACTAATTTGAAATTTTTCGTGGTATTAACCCTTAATGAAATTCCATACATTGACTCGAATTCGATGTTTTACTCTCTCTTTTTCCATTTCTTTTTTCGTCTCCTCCTTTTCGTGGAAAGTACAAGAGTTGACTGAACAAAAAAAAAAAAAGGCAAATGAGCTCGATCGAGGCCAATATGCTAAATGCGCTCTTCCTTTCCAAAAAAACAAAACCTACATTCGAAATTCGCGACAAGTCAGACCGCGACAAAGTCTGATTTTGCACGCCTCCTGCTTTTGGCCGTTTGCCAAGTCGTATGTAAGTTACTAAGTTTATGTTCTTCCCTAGAGAACGTCAAGCTATTTGACTTCTCAAGGTGATCGAAGTTACCATGCAGTTTCATCGGTTTGACATATATATCTTGGATCAATCGTCCCGAAAGCATGGCTCCGCGCGCTCCAATCTCCAGAGCAGAACTCCGCGTTGCATACTAGTGCATTAAAGAAAATACGACTATTCGACCAAAGAAAATAGAAATATACGACTAAAAGAACAGAACATATATATAATAATATGACATGATGAAAATGTGTCTCTTTAGACATTATAAATATCCACGAAATCGCCGCATATTCTAATAGCAACAGCAACAACTTCTTCTTCTTCTTCTTCTTCTTCCTCTTCATTGTTGGGGTCGAAGGTCGCCGCACAAATACCGTCTGTTCGATTGATTTTCGATACGTTGTGGGTTGTGTGCGGTTTGATTACTGTGAGCGCAAAAGATGAGTCAACTAATCGCATTGTTGCTATGTGTTTTCGCGGCGTTGGCGTCAGCGGAGGCAAGAGTCCGTCGTTACAAGTGGGACGTGAAGTACGAGTTCAAGTCGCCGGACTGCTACAGGAAGCTGGCCATCACCATCAACGGAAAGACCCCGGGCCCGACAGTTCTGGCGCAACAGGGAGACACCGTCGTCGTGGAAGTGACCAACGGGTTGGCGACGGAGAATCTCGCTATCCATTGGCACGGAATCCGACAGGTATATAGCGACGACATCGAAACTATGTTACGACGGTCTCGTTCAAGAGATTGATGAAGATTGTAATAAGAAGTTTATGAGATGATGATTTTGGGTGGGATTGAAATTGCAGATTGGAAGTCCGTGGAGCGATGGAACAGAGGGTGTGACTCAGTGCCCCATTTTGCCTGGAGAAACTTTTACCTATCGTTTTGTCGTTGATCGGGTGAGTCCCTATACACAGTGCCAGGATTCTCCCTCACCTATGTTCATGTTTAGCTCTTCTTAATCGAAAGATCATGCGAGTTTCACGTGGATCCGATAATTTTTGGGAATTGGTCTCCTATGTGCCGGTGCAACCCAATATTTTTGTCACTCAAATTTACCAAACGACACTTGTTCATACATGAGATCCGCGAGAGATTATCACGGGAAGTTTTAGATGACATTATACTTTTACCCTACGTAGCCCGGAACATACTTGTACCACGCGCATTACGGGATGCAAAGAGAGGCCGGACTATACGGTTCGATCCGGGTTTCGCTGCCGGACGGCGTGGCCGAGCCCTTCGCTTACGACTACGACAGGAGCATCATCCTGAACGACTGGTACCACAAGAGCACTCATGAACAAGCTGTGGGTCTATCCTCCATTCCCTTCGGTTGGGTTGGGGAGCCTCAGGTAATTAACTTAATTTGATTTCCTCTGATAAAATAATTAAATATTAAATTACACGTTCATCTACTAGCTTAAGCTGTTAGAACAGTTGCAAATAGTCTCACAAAATCTCACATGATATTAAAACAAGAGGTCCTAAGTTTAAATCTTTTAAGAGCCTAAATTGTCTTTTCAGTTAAATATGTTCACGCTTTATACTATGCAAAAAGACCAGACTAAGCGTGATGGAAAGTGATATAATAATTAAATATTAAACCACATATTTATATAATAGCTTAAGCTTTTAAAATAGTTGGCTGTAGTCCTGCAAAATCTCACATCCTCTGTTACGAAAAACTTAAACACCATTTTCACTCATTGGTCCTCTTTTTTTAACTCTTTTTTTTTTTCGTTTGAATTGTAGTCGCTGCTAATTCAAGGGAAGGGAAAGTTCGATTGTTCCAAATTGGCCCCCCCAAGCTCAGATCCAACGGCTTGTAACGCGACCAATCCTGAATGTTCGCCGTACGTATTGACGGTCGTCCCGAGTAAAACATACCGTCTTAGAATTTCGAGTGTGATCGCTCTATCCGCTCTCAGCTTTCAAATTGAGGTATACTTTTGCCACCTACAAATTATCTCTCTGGTTTTATTTATTTTTTTCATCGCCTCCTATAATGATTTCAAATTTGAAAAATTTTCACTGTTCGCATTTCAATTTGGATGACACACGAGAGAACGTAGCATACAAGAATATTTACAGTGACCTCATACACATGTTGGTTTCATTCTGCTTAATAAGTTAAAAATTTTAATTGGAATATTTGAAATTTTCATTAGTCTAAAGGTCGTTGAACGGTAACGAAATGTTCAATTGACAATTTGGCATATGATATCTTATTCTATTTTTTAATCGATGCGTCAAATTGGAAAAGTCGGAAACGGCAATCTCGATGTAGGTAAATCATTAAATGAGTTTCCACTTGCTGAGCATACAAGAATATCCACGGGTACCAAAAAAAGTTAAAACAACGTTCTATGTACTTTACGCACCTACAAATTTTTTGTGATTTTATTAAATTTTCTTTTTATATACGATTAAAATTAACATGCTTCTTGGATACAACATTGCAAGGCTTGTACGTTGGAATTTTACCACTTGGATCATATGACGAATTGAACTTTATTTTGCAGGGTCACAACATGACTATAGTTGAATCGGATGGGCACTATGTAGAGCCGATTGTGGCCCAAAATCTGTTCATCTACTCAGGCGAGACATACTCTGTCTTGATCAAAATCGACCAAGAACCGTCGAGAAATTACTGGATCACGACCAACATCGTGGGCCGGAACGCCACGGCCACGACCCCTCCTGGTCTGGCCGTCCTCAATTACTACCCGAACCACCCTAAGCGGGTCCCGCCCACATATCCACCCTCTGGCCCGATTTGGAATGACATTGCGGTGCGATTGGCACAGGGCAAGGCGATCAAAGCCCGCCAAGGATACGTCCACACTCCGCCGCCAAAATCGGACAGAGTGATTGTGTTCCTCAACACACAAAACACAATCGACGGTTATTACCGTTGGTCCGTGAACAATGTGTCATTCAGGCACCCACACACGCCGTACCTGATCGCCCTCAAGGAGAATCTCCGCCATGTGTTCGATCAACGCCCGCCGCCCGATCAGTTATATGACTTCGCAAACTATGACATCTACCAAAAGGTGAACAACACCAATGCCACCTCTAGCGACTCGATCTATAGAATCAAGTTCAACTCCACAGTGGACATCATATTGCAAAATGCAAACACTATGATCGAAAACAACAGCGAGACGCACCCGTGGCACCTCCATGGCCATGATTTCTGGGTCCTTGGGTACGGGACGGGCAAATTCGATGTCAACAACGACCCGAAAAAGTACAATTTGGCGAACCCGATCATGAAGAACACGGTAGCAGTCCATCCTTACGGGTGGACCGCCCTGAGATTCGTGGCCGATAACCCGGGCGTTTGGGCGTTCCATTGCCATATAGAGTCTCATTTCTATATGGGCATGGGCGTGGTGTTTGAAGAAGGCGTCGAGAAGGTGGGCAAGTTGCCTTTGGAGATCATGGGATGTGGTGAAACAAAAGCCCTCAAGAGACCATAATTGAATCATTTGTCCCCTTATCTACCTCCAGGACAAGATTTTCACGACCCACTCCAATAAACTTTATTTGTATATTGATATTATTTTTTGTTCCAAATATTCTTTGGATTTATGCAAGTTATTGAGAGGATATTTCATTAGATATGTTTATTGATGTACGTTTGCTTCAATTGTACCTCTTCAAGTTGTTTGCCACATGGATACACAAGACGTGAACAGTCATTGCATTCGGATTTGTGATGCGTATTAATTTTGAATTTGGATTTTGCTAATAAAGACTTTTCTGTCTCGATTCTAATTCCCATTTCTGCCGTTTTTCTCTTCTTTGACCGAATTCTGATCCCCTTTTCCAGTTTCTTGCTTTCGAATTTTCCATCTCCAAATCAGGTGCATCCAGGTTTATTATGTATTTACTATCTCGGTTGGAACAATAATCGGAATAGACCTAAAATTTGTCTTCACATCATGATAGCGAGTTAGTAAATTTTTCTTGTTATTACTTGTAATTATATATATGGCTTTGCAAGTGAAAATTTGAAATAAAAATATATATAAGTTTCAGAAAATTATAAAAAAAATTATATATGTTTTATTTTAATGTTGCAATATTTTGAAATATTATTTGTAGTCAAAGTAGGGATCCCGCAAGATTTACAAAGTTTCAAAAATAAAAGTTATTCCGAAAAGGAGCTTTATCAATTATATTGACAGATAACACTAATGATACATAATATTCTATGAATACTAACGAGTACTAACGCTACACCTATGGAAGACTTCATTAAGTCTTGTAATCTGCTCACCTGGTATTACTCTTTGTAGAATATTCACTCCTCTTACTTTTGCATGATGGAAGTCTTTACCTCCATTCAATTAAAGTTAATGATTCAAAACTTCATCAATGACAGCACTGTCATGCACACTAAATACCCCTCTTTCATGGCCTCTAAGTGGCCATGAGTCCATGAATGCAAACTAATGCTTAACACTATCACTCCTTATAATACTCCTTGGTTTTAACATAGACATGCATGAAATCCCCACAAGTCAAAGCTAGCTTCTGTCTATATGTCATGCCTTGACAAGTTGTCTCCTGTCAGGCTTCTACAATAGCAAAGGAGAAATGAGTAACACATACATCCAACAGGGAGTGAGCACTGGTGGCATGTGAAAATAGAATCACCTCACAATAGGCCTAGTTAAGCGTAACGGCTTTGGTTAACAGTAAAACTATAATATGAAGAGCGCTCTAGTCATAGTACTACCAAAATCAATGACCACATGACAGAAAGTGCTTATATGATTACAATTAATTATACCTTAAGACAAAATCATAAGGTTTCAATAACAGATATGGTCAGAAGGGATAATACCTTCAAATGAGTTAGTCTAGTAAGAGTACATGGTCACAGTACGAAGTTTTGTAAGGAGGTTACAAGAGTGAACTTATCATGTATTTATTATCTCAATTGGAAAAATAATATGAAGAGACCTGGAATTTGTCGTCATGTTAGTAAATTTCTCTTTTTGTTCTTTCTTTAAATGAAATTTTTGTGAACTGACCTGTTTGTCTGTACTTATCGATCTCTTGTAATTTCCATCATTGGCTTTCTCTCTAAATTTATAAATAAAAATATAATTTGAGTTTCAGAAAATTATGATTCAATATATGGTCATTAATGGAATATTTTCAATGGTTTTTAGTATCTCAGATGAAATAGAAGTCAAATTATGGTTTAGCAAGATTTAGAAAAAGTCAAAAGTTAAAGAAATAGAAGTTACTCCATCTTCGGAGTTTTTCCATTTGTCTTGACAGATAGGATTAATGCTACATAAATGAATAAATAGTACTAATGCAACACCTATGGAAGAGTTCATAAACAATTGTAATCTCCATACCTAGTATTACACTTCGTAAAACATTCACCCCTCTTTCTTTTGCAAGGTGAAAGTCTTTTAACTCCGGCATGAGGACACTAGAAGTATCAAAAGTTTCATACGACATTCACTTAGTGCCAAAAGTTTTGGCCAACTAATTTAAGTGCCAAATCGAAGAAAAATTGATCACTTTAGTGCCTCTGGTGACAAATTTCGATAAAAAATATTATGTGGCTTTTTTTAATTAAATGTTAATGCCTAAATGGTTTTTTCATTTAAAAAAAAGTCCATGTGGACGATGAGGTGGCCTTTAATCACAAAACAATGCTGCACTAAAGCAATTTACTCTCTCTCTCTCTCTCTCTCTCTCTCTCTCTCTCTCTCTCTCTCTCTCTCTCTCTCTCTCTCTCTCTCTCTCTCTCTCTCTCTCTCTCTCTCATTCAAGCCTTGTTCGACAATTTTGAAGCAAAGATGTCGTGGTTTTAAGGGCGGCCTTGTTACGTTGGAAAGATATTATGGTTTGAAGCAAAACATCAAGCGCCGGTGATCGGCACCAGCGAAGAAGGATCGAGCGAGTGTGAGGCACTTCGAACATGGATTAGAAAAACAGGGTCGAAGAGAGGCACGGCCGGTGAGATTTGGAAGCAAATAACGGCGTCAATCGATGGTGGCGACAACGTCTGGAAAACGATGGAAAAGGATCACCGATGACTGAAATTCAAAAATCCTCGAGAGAGGATTCCTTCATGAGATCTGTGTGTATGCTCTGTTGTGCTATGTTTTGGCTGCAATGAGCCCGAGGTGACCGGCAATAGAGAACGGCGATTGAAGATGGTGGATGGCGGATTGAAGGTGATCAAGATTAAAAATGGTGTTTGGATCTTCCTTCCTTGTTCGACAATTTTGAGGTTTTCCTTCGACATTTGGAATCCACTTTTGCCGTCATTGCTTTTGAGAATTAGGGTTTATATTTAAGGAATCTGGGAAAATGCTTGATTGTCCAATTTAGAGTTTATATTTGGGACAAAACAAGTAGACAATGTTGTTTAGGGTTATATATGCTGATTGGGTATGACGGCAAGCCACGTCCGTCAGAGAAATTAATAAAATATTGCTAGGTCGGATTTTTGGCAATCCAAATCAGAATTGGCACTTAAGTAATCATTTTTTTAAAAGTAGCATTTAAGTAATCCGGTGGAAATTTTTGGCAGCAAAATGAATGCCGTACGAAACTTTTGATACTTTTTGTGTCCTTATGCCTTTAACTCCATTCAATTACAGTGAGAGATTCAAAGTCCATAAAAGACAATATTGTTATGCACACTAAATGCCCCTCTTTCCTCTAAGTGTCCATTCCTTCATGAAGGGAATTAAATGCTTAACACCATCATTCCTTATAAATAATCCTTGGTTTTAACACCCACATTCACGAAATCCCCACGAGTCAAAGCCTGCATCTATTTATCTCTCTCTTTCTCAATTGTTCTTAACTTTGATCTTCTTTGACCATGGATATAAAAAAGATTGAGAATGCAACAAAGCGTCAAGTGACGTTCTCGAAGCGTCGAAGTAGTCTCATAAAAAAGATCAACGAGACTGCAATCTGTTGCGACATAGATGTTGCATTTGTTGCCTTTTCACCCTCGGGTCGCCTCAGCAACTTCTGCAGCCGAAACAGGTTCTATTTGATTCAAAGTATAAGAATAGAGTGGTGATTTGTTCAGCCAATAAGATATTATCTAACTTGCAATTCGTTTATTCTTTATTTTAAAAATCTGATTTTTTTTACGTTGTATGGGTTTTAGGATTGAAGATGTGCTTCAACGATATCTTACTTTGCCCCCAGAGGAAAAACATCAGTATGATGCTCTCATTTACTTAATATCATTTTTTTCACCATTTTAAATTGATAGAAGCTCCTTTTTAATAAAAAATCTTCCTTTTGTTCTTGATGCATGCGATTTGCAACACAAGAGCCAACAGCCACATAGACCATGTTGAGGTACATTTCTCTAGATTAATAGTAAATTTTTATTTTTGTATAGTTGGCTGGCTAGGGCCTGTGGATCGACTTATTACCAAAAATGAATTACAAATGAGTTAAAAATGAGTGATGCAGGAGAAGGTGACGAAGCTAAGGCATCTTAGCTATATCAAGGGTAATGAGAACAAGTTGCATTACCTAAACAATAAGTCTCTCTCTCCCTTACCTTACATTTTTTACATTTTTTTATTTCTGTAGAATTCATTTCTTAATCACATTGGCCTTTCATGTGAACTGATGCTGCCTTTATTCATATGAAACCTCACTACTTCAAGGTTAAAAGTAAGTTTTTATTCACCAAATCACGTCTTTGATCAATTTCAAATCTAATTTGATAGAAGTGCCTCGAGTCATAAATTGCAATCGAAAAATTTGATTTGTGATTTGTCTCGCAGCACATGGAGTTACAAGTTAAGAAGTCAAAAATTGAATTAGAAATATCAGAGGCAGAATTGAGGTAATAGAACTTCACATATAATGATTGATTTATCTTTACTTTGATCGTTACACAACATCGAAAACCTCGAATCTAGTTTTCTTTCGTTTCTAATGGTAAACCTAATCTTATGTGAAGGAATTATGAGCCAGATCCAACAGAAGATCCTTCACATGTTGAATTAGAATGGTGTGAGAATCATCTGAAGAGAAGCTTGCACCAAGTGATGGATAGAAAAGTAGGTCATCATGTACATTAAAAAGAAATTTTGAAAATCCTTTTATTTGTTTCTTATTTAATGTTGCTTCATTCTCATTATTCTTTGTTGAAATGTGCCAGAGGATGTTGCTCGATGATTTGCCATCTTCGTTTCCTGAATCATCAAGGTTTCAGGCAAGTCCTTCATCCTAAACTACTAATATTAGCATGACCAATTGGATAAACATTAAATATAGGTATGTAGTACAATCATTTATGAGTGTTTTTTCTCGCATCTGGATTCAGATGGAAATGAAAAACCAATTTCAGCAGTCATTTCCCGAAGAAAATGATTATGAGGAGAAGTTATACTCTGGGACGAATGACCAAACCAGTAACCACAATTTGGTGCAACATGATGCATGGGTCAACCCATACAGGTCCAATT